CTTTTTCACTGGAGCATAAGAGGTTGAGAGATGACCTTACAGAGGTTTATAAAATTGTGAGGGGTGTAGATAAGGTTAATGGTAGGTGTCTTTTCCCTAGGATGGTGAATTTCAAGACTGGGGCATATTTTTAAGGTGAGAGGAGAGAGATTTAAAAAAAAACATGAGGGGCAAATTCTTTACACAGAGAGTGGTTCATGTGTAGAATGAACTTTCTGAGGAAGTGATGAATGCAGGCACAGTTACACCATTTAAAAGGTGCTTAGACAAGGGATTATGGACCAGCAGCAAGCAGATGGGGCTAGTTTAGTTTGGGAAGATGTTCAGCACAGACTGGTTGGACCAAAGGGTCTGTTTCCATGCTGTATGACTTTATGTCTTCCTTAATCATGATTTAAAACCTTATTTTGTTATGATCGCTATTGCATAGGTGTTCCCCATATATTCACTTCTCTCATCTGCTCTCGTTAATTTATCATGACTAGATCCAGCAGTGCTTCCTCTCTAACCATTACATAGTACTGACCACATGCTGGAAAACTCGAGTCTATTTCTTCTATCCCTTACTTCATCTTGTTAGTTTATTTTGGGGCAGTTGAAATCTCATGATTATTATTCAACACTTTTACAACTGATTTCAATTATTTCATCTATTTCATGGAAACATAGAAAATAGGAGCAGAAATAGGCCATTTGGCCCTTCAAGCCTGATTCACCACAGCCCTGTACAATTTCAGCAAGACATTTCTGCTCCTGTACTTGAATCCTTCCACTATGAAGACCAATAAACCAGATGTTTTCTTCATTGCTTGCTGCATCTGCTGGTGAGGCCACTCAGCGCTGGAAGAGATATGCAGATTCTGCATAATCCTCCCCCATTTCTTTCAAAACTGTGCTTAGCTGGCAACTGAATCAAAGAGGTATGCAGAGAAGATAGGGCTTGCAAAACAGAGGCTGGCGCACTATCATTGAAGTCCCTGCAATGTTCCTTTTCTTTTTCAACCACCTAATTTTTTTATTTGGTAACTATGCTCCTCTGGATCCACATTGCTCATTTTCCCCTGGACCAGGTATTTCCTCAGAGATGTTACTGCTCCGAACACTAATATTTCATTTACTGTGACGGAAAGCTTGCTTACCCATGGACACTAGCTGCCTGGCAAATTTATGTCTGCAGACCAGAAACAGTCCCAAGGAATGTAACCTCAAAGTGGTAACAACTCGAAGAAAATTTCCACTATAATCTTCAATCAATTGCCTTGAAACTTTTTCTTCCCCACCAAAAGCCCAACAACCATTACCATTCTTCCAAACTTTCAGCCCTGGTATCTAGCTCCTTTTATGGTCAACTGCCTCTGATCCTTCAAGACCACGTCTATTTATGTTATGTATCCGGGTCTCTCTTTCTGATTTGTCTCTCTCACCAAGGGTGTTATCTCTGTTATGGGAAGACTCTTTATCGCCTGAATTTATTTTTTTATATAGAATCCCTACAGTGTGGAAACAGGCCCTTCGACCCAACAGGTCCCCACCAGACCTCAGAGCATCCCACCCAGACCCGTCCCCTTGTAACCCACCTAGTCTACACATCCCTGAACACTATGGGCAATTTAGCATGGCCAATCCACCTAGCCTGCACATCTTTGGACTGTGGGAGGAAATCGGAGCACCCAGAGGACACCCACACAGACACGGAGAGAACGTGCCATCTCCACGCAGACAGTTGTCTGAGGCTGGAATCGAACCCGGGTCCCTGACACTGTGAGGCAGCAGTGCTAATCACTGAGCAACCGTGCCACCCCTCCGAGAAATTGAATCCCTCCAAGACTGCATCAAGGCAGAGTTCACATTTTATAGCTCTCCAAGGACATGTTATGTCAACACAAATTTGGTTCCATATTAAATGCAAGAAGAATGGTACAAGAAATAGTTTACAGGTAAAATTAACTGATATTTAACATATTAAGGAATTATCTCTCAGTTAAAAATTCACTGAATGCTCCCCAAATACTGTTACATTTTTCTCAGAATTCTCTAATAATTAATAGCGCACCTGAGGTGATTTTAATGTCCATGGTTGATGCAGTGTAGTGGTCAGAAAGTGATCCTGGAGTAGCTGCCGATATTGCTGGGTGTACAGATCTTGGCTCTACAGGTGTTGCTGCAAACAGACGACTTTCTAGATTTTCATTCATATAAAACTTGAAATATTTCAAACAAACTCAGGCCACCCATAAGTAGCAATGCAGCCTTGCTTTATAAACACTCCGTTAATTTCTTTTAGTTGAAAAAAAACAATAAATTTCCCTTCAGTGTCTCAGTCAAATTCCTAGAACAATTTCATACAATCACTAGTGTGCATGCAGGCCATTCAGCCCATCAAGTCCACACTGACCCTCCAAAGAGCATCCTACCCAGACCCACCCTATCCCTGTAACACTGCATTTCCCATGGATAATTCACCTGGCTTGCACATCCCTGGACACTATGGGCAATTTAGCATGGCCAATTCACCTAACCTGCCCATCTTTAGACTGTGGGAAGAAATCAGAGCACCCGGAGGAAACCCACGCAGACACAGGGAGAATGTACAAACTCCACACAGACAGTTATCTGAAGGCAGAATGGAACCCGGGTCCCTGGGGCTGTGAGGCAGCTGTGCTAACCACTGAGCCACCATGCCATCCAAGAAGAATTTATGAATCGACCAAGTTCTGGGGAGGGTGGGGCAGATAATTTAATACATGGAGTCTGTCAGTGTCGCTCTTTGCAAAAAAGTGATGAATGGGAATTTGGACCATAATAGCCACTTGAAGAGACCTGCAATGACTGAAGCCCCGGCAAAAGGAATAGAAATGTCTACAATCATAGGAGAGCACAGAAAAAGATGACTTGGCTCATGAAGCTCATGGCTCTGTGCAAGTGCGGCTTATTTAGCCCTAAACCCCTCTCCCTTTGCTCCAAAGACTTGCAATCATTTTCTCTTCCAAAATTGTCCAATACCATTTTGAAAGCTACAACTGAAACTGTTTCCACCATAATCTCAGGCAGGGCATTCCAGGTCCTAACCACTTATCTAAAAGAAAGACTTTCCCCAGGTCAACTTTACACTTTTTACTGATCACTTTCAGTCATTGTTCTGTGGTTCTCAACCCTTCTGCCACCAGGAGTATATTGCCCTATCTGCTCAGTCTGGATTACTTATTTAATGTTTTGAGAAGGAAAGTTAATTATATTAATTGTTATCAGGTACATGAGAAGAAACCAGGCAATGGTGTTGCTGCAGCAGCCATTCACAATTAATGTATCTAAACTGAGGAACAGAGCCCCATCAAATGGAACTCATCGTTTTTCAGTTAAAGAGTACCAGTGATTGAAGTACGTGATAAATTTTGCATCATGCTGTGCAGTAAGGCAAACGCATGGACTCGAGCAGATTAATGTTTCAGTTTTATTTCTGCAACTCCCATCTTTGCACGCCACTACTCCCACCCCCTATTTCTCATCCAAATGTTGCCCCCTGGTGATAACATCCACAAACACAGCTGATGACACCTAGCTGTACCTTGTCATCACCTTTCTCAACTTGTCCCCTCCTCCTTCCACCTGCCTCTGAATCGGGGGACTCTTTGTTGACATCCATTACTGGATGTTTCGAACTTTCCTTCAACTAAATATTGGGAAGACTGAAGCTGTCACCATTGCTCATCTTGACAAGCTCTGATTCCTAGTCACTAACTCTCTCCCTCTTGCTGGCAAGTGTTCGAGATGAAACCAGACTGTACACGATGCTGGTGTCATATCTGATCTTACGATGAGTATCTGATACAGATGGTAACTTCATCAAGATCACTTAGTTCTACCTCCATGACATCATCTGGTCATAAGCCTGCCACAGTTCATCTATTGCTGAAATACTTGTCCTTACTTTTGTCCAGACCTGACAACTCTAATGTTCTTCTCAGAGATAGTAGGAACTGCCGATGCTGGAGTCTGAGATAACAAGGTGTAGAGCTGGATGAACACATCAGGCCAGCAGCATCAGAGGAGCAGGAAAGGGACGTTTCTGGTCTGAACCCTTCCTGCTCGTCTGAGCTGCCTGGCCTGCTGTATTCATCCAGCTCTACACCTTGTTATCTCTAATGTTCTCCTGGCTGGTTTCCTACATTCTACTCCATGTAAACTCAAGGTCATCCAAATAAATCTACTGTCCATGTTCTAACTCACACCAAAATCCATTCTCCCGCCATCCCTTTTCTATTGACTTATATTGGGTTCTGCTTTAAGAACACTTGGATTTTAAAACTCTCATCTGTATTTTCAAATCTCTCCATGGCCTCACCCCTCATCATTGCTGCAATCTCCTCCATCCCACAACTCTCTGAGGTGTGTGCTTCCCTGTAATTCTGGCTTCTTGAGTATTCCTAGTGTTAATGACTTCATCATTGCTGCATCTGCTTTGACTTACCAAGGCCTAAACTCTGAAATTTCCTTTCAAAACATCTTTACCTCTTTTCTTGTCCTTTAAGGCACTCCTTAAAACCAACTCCTTTGACCAAGCTTATGGTCAGCTGGCCTAATATCTCAATGTATGGCCCAGTGTCATATTTTGACGGATAAAACATTCTTCTGAAGCGCCTTGAGACATTGTATTAAGTTAAAGCTGCTATGTAATTCCAAGTTGTTGTTGCAAAACAGTAATTTTCATGGTCTAAAAGATCAAAAGTACTGCAAGGCTGCTCCCAAACTGCCCAAGTAAGACAAGGAAATTCCAGACAGAAGGTTAAAGGGAAGAGGTGGGAGACAGGCAAGGTGTACAGCAGTGACATCTTAGCACAAGTAGGATAAACTCAGAATATTGCATCAGGATAAATCAGTGAAAAGTTAAGTTTAAAAGCAAGCCTGTTCGAAAAAAATGGACAAGCAACATTTGCAATGATAACCAGGCAATATTTTTAGGGAGATTCCTCTTGTGGGAGAACCTAGGACTGGGATCACTGTTTCAAATTAAGGGGTTGCTCATTTAAGATAGAGATGGAGAGAATTTTTTTTGGCTCACACAGGGTTGTGTGCCTTTGGAACTCATTTCTTCAACAGGCAGTGGAAGTAGAGTCTTTAGGCATTTAAGTCCGAGGGAGACAGATTCCCAAAAAGCCAGGGCTGAAGGGTTATTTGGGCTAGATGGATATGTGAGACTGTCAGATCAGCCCTGATCTTATTGAATGGCGAAGCAGGCTTGAGGGTTGACTTGTCTACTCCTGTTCCTAATTCATCTGTAAGCTTGATCGAATTTTTTTTCCATACCTTTTCTGGTAGATTCGACACTTGAATAGCTAACTTTATCACTCATTTTGTAATATTTAAGGGCTGTCCTTCTGCTGGAAGGTTACCATTCTGAACATTAGGTCATTCCATCCATATTCTGCATTGGGTAATGACTTGCAAAGTCTGACAGGGTACATGTAAATAATAGATGCTGATGATACGCAGTGTACTCAGTGCAGAAAACAATTTCTGCACATTCCAAACATATTTTACCCTCATTATATTTCTTGTTCAAATCTAAATGTGTGCAGTAACATTTTGGGGCAGTGACATACTTAAAATATCTCTTCCAGTGCTCTGGCTAACCGTAAAAGTTCACATACAGCATAATTTCATCAATATATCTATCAAAGACATGTCTATGGTTTCACTCCTAGTTTCATGCTTCAGCCACTGTCTTTCTGGTTTTTCTCACTTGCAGAGACTGGGCCACACACTTCCACTTGCCATCAGGAACATTAGAAGGATTTACAGGTTGACACTCAACCTGGTTGCCAACATTACAAACACATTCCATAGCCAATAGGTCTTGGAGTGAACCTTGAACTCAGAGTTTCTGGATCAGAGGTCAGGGCTCTACCCCGTGCCATAAGACCTACACAGCCACTAATAGGCAATGAATAACACATGAAATTTTAAGTATCATTTATACAATTATTATAAAGTTATAGCAATCAATAATATGCAATCTTTATCTCATAACGTAATGGTATTTAACTTGCATTTTAATATGGATCATTGAATGATATAGCACAGAAAGAAACCACTTGGCTCATGTTTACTGAAAGTTTTTTGAAAGAATCAGTGCCAGTCATCTTCTCATTCCCATCAATATTATTCCCTCTTACAAGTATTGATTCAATTCCCTTTTTTAAAATGAGTTACCATTGAATCTACCCTTTTTAAACAGCATCTTCCAGATCATTAACAATTCCTAATGTTTGGTTTGAATCTGGATGTAACCTTTAAGTGAGATAGTCAATATTGGCTAAGAAATGGATAAAAGAACAGTCAACAGAAGGTGGTGAAGTGGAATGTGAGAATTGCAGCATTTATAGCATGGAAGAAAGTCATTCAGCCTAATGACTCTATGCTGGTCCTCTATCCTGTCAGCCCCATTCCTCCAATTTACCCTGTAGCTCTTCAACTTTACTTTCTTCAAGCACCCATTCAATTTCTTTCCATTATCATTAATTGTCTCTGCTCCCATCATCCTAATGGGCATCAAATCCTGGGTCAACAGCATTCGCTGCATAAAAAGTCTTCCTCATGCTCCTCCTGCATCACTTGGTCAACATTTTAATGCCATCTTTCCTTGTCCTCGTAATAGGTCATCTACTATCCTTGCCTCTTTCACATTCCAATCTATGAATTTTCTTCCCACTTGCTTCAAGACTGGGTCATTGACTGAAAGATTAACTCTTTTTCCTCTTTCCATGGATATTACTGGAGCTGCTATTTACTTCCAGCAATTTTGTGCTTTTATTCCAAGACTGGGGCTTACAATTTCTAAACTGGTGGCAGAGTGCACACGTATGTCAAATTTAATGACATCTTTCCAAGAAGATTAACAGCACAAAGGAATCCAGACTATTGACTGTGAATCTCAGGTACTTCAAATTTCAGATAAAAACTCCGTCCCTTATCCATCTTTAGGCTTACCTCTTGTTTCAATTGTTTCAATTTGAGTTATTCCTCGAGGAACGGAATTCCTAACTGGCAAAATTATGATCATTACATCCATCCCATCTCCCATTAGGAAGAACAAAGTTTTTTTCATTCTCTCTTTTGCCACGTTCCTCTAAACCTCTTAGTTTTGATTTGGAACTGAATTAT